TATAAGTCTGCCAATTTTATCTTTGCTGTCTAATTGTTACCTGCTAGTTGGTCACGGGCCCTTCTAACTAAAATTCTTCAGCTGTCTCCCAATTATCTCCATAATAAAGTTCGGGCTCCTGAGCTGAAGTCCAAGATAGTTCCCTGTCTATTCTCTATAGCCTCCTCTCAGCTCTGACTACTCCCTGGCACTGTGACTTTACATTCCAGAAACACGTAACTACCTACGTCTCTCTACATATCCCGTGCTCTTTTATACCTTGGCCATCTACTTCCTCTTTCCATCTTTCTCATGGGTAAGTCTCAATCCAGACGTCACCTCCTCTAGAAAACCTTTCCATAAAACCCAAGCAGAGCTAGGTGCTTCCTCCTGGGCCCCCAAAGCACCCCATACAGATCTCAGTGTTGCCAGTGAGCAGAGGAACTGGAAGTATCGGGGGCGTACCGAGCTCTCCACTACTCGGTGTGGAGCGGTAGTGCCTGGCACCGTGATCGTCGGCATATCTAAGGACTCGATGCGTATCTGTCACACTCAGAAGCAGCTGAAGTGCGTCCCAGGATCAGGCAACTTCCAGTACTCGCTCTCAACCGCCCCGACTCCCCTTTCCAGTTTTTCCATCTCTCCAGAGTTTGGTTAGGCAGGAGGAGAAGTGGTGCTGTCTTAGTTTCTGGTCCCAGGGAGAAGTAAAAACAAGTTACTTTAAAGTATCCCCAGCTGTATCCACCCTCCTAACTTCTCCTGACACGTGTGCTTCCATAATGAAAGATGTATCTCTGAATAGATGAGTTTTTTTTTAAACTTACGGACTTCCTGACAACTTGAAATATTCGAACAACGAAACTCTGAAGTATCTGGTAGCTCTCCAGGAAGACACGACAGCTTTTCAAGTCCAAAGACTTCTTCATCGAAATGGGCCAGTAATGGTGGCATTTGATAACTCCATCTTCTACCTCTCTGGTTATCATGGCAATAACATTAGAGTTGTTTTCCACAACCATCTGCCAGAAGTCGTCTGTGGTACCTGGCAGTGGCCCCTGGGTGGCGATATAGTAATACTCTTCCCCAGCATTGACGATTTTAACGTAACTAGCGTTGATGTAGTCCTTGTCTTCCCCAAGGAGAACACGTGTTGAATCATCTGTTACGAAACCAGAAACATCCGGTGGGCAAAGGAGGCGTGGGAGACGCCGCACACCCAGACCTCATGGAAACACTTCGCGTGAGGGAGTCTGCTTACCTCTGACCAACAAAGAAGACGGCATTTTGAAAGGTGTTTCCTTTCAAAAAGGTTACCTCAGCCCATGAACTTCAAATGTTCCCTCCTGAAAACCTACTGGTATGGCTTAAGGAATATACAGTTAGGATAAGGTAGTTTTTTTTTTTTAACTCAGTTGCTACTAAACAGAGAAGGATGCCATCGGAATCCAGACACTTTGGCAGATTTCTGTTAGACATGGCATCGGTGGGATCAGGCCGAGGGAGGCACCTCCTAGCCTGTAACCAAACACAGCAAAGGGGAAGCGCTCTGAGGAAGCAAGTGAGCGAGCGACAGGCTCCTACAAATCCAGAGAACAGGCAAGCCCAGAGCAGCAGGGGCTGGAGTGGAAGAGGAAGACTGGGGTAGTGACCAGATACAAACCCTAGGGTTACTGGAATTCTGCCAGTGGCCCCCCACATAAGCTGCCATCTTTTACGTCCATTTTCAGCTTTCACCTGGTGAAGTGGCATGCTAATCAAAGCAAAGGTACTGTGACAAAAGCATGCTGCAAAGTAGTGGATTTGCTCCAAGTAACACGGGGCTCATCTAACATGAACTATTAGAATATGGGGGGGAGGTCCAACTACTTGGCTCTCTGTAAACTCCACCGGCCCAGGAGCTCTTTCTTCACTTTACATGGACATCTGGGGCTCTGGTCCCACCACTGCTCCCACAGAGAGAATAAAAGGAGGGTCCTTCTACTACGCAGTGGTCTCGCCCATAGTCCCTCCCTGCTACTCAAGGTCATGCCGCCCACTTATCCAGCAAATACGCTGTGACCGAGATCACTGAACAGGGCTCACACAATTTCTGACAGAACATTTTTCAAACTCCAAAATAGCAAACAAACATCTCGTAAATATGAATACATAGGAAAAACAATGACTAGATATACAAAGACAGCCAGCACTTCACAAAAGGAGACCATGCTGAGACATCAGAGCAAATGTCCTCCTTTTCATAAGAGGGAAGAGTGTATTTTTTTTAGCTTTTATTTTTTATTTTTTGTAATATATATCACATTTTTAAAACATTTTTTATTGACTTATAATCATTTTACAATGCTGTGTCAAATTCCAGTGTGGAGCACAATTTTTCAGTTATACATAAACATACATACATTCATTGTCACATTTTTTTCTCTGTGAGCTACCATAAGATCTTGTGCATATTTCCCTGTGCTACACAGTATAATCTTGTTTATCTATTCTACGATTTTGAAATCGCTCATATGTGGAATCTAAAACAAAAAACAAAAAACAAACAAAGCATAAATACAGAACAGAAACAGACTCACAGACATAGAATACAGACTTGTGGTTGCCAGGGGGGTGGGGGGTGGGAAGGGACAGACTGGAGGGAAGAATATTTTTAAAAACTCCTATTTGTACTTTAAATGGAATCTGAGGAAACCTTATTTTATTATTTAAAAGGATGATATATATGTTTTTATTGACATAAATTTGTTAAATTATTCAATTATAAAGGAGGTAAAAGAGCATTAAAGTAAGATCTTTCATCATATATATATACACACATATACATATACATC